GATGATCCAATACAGAATTAAAAGAGAATAAAATGCTAATTCTTTCTCAACTTCAATATATAGATATTCATCATTAGACAATGGATAATTAATTGGAATAAATGATTGTGGGGACAACAAACAATTAATCTTAATTGCCCTATAAAAACTGAAAAAAAAGACCTTTTTATTACGGTCATCTCACTGATAATGCAACTCGGAAAGTTCAATCATTCTTCATCCAAAGCGAAACCTGTAATCCTGCATGCATTTTTTTATTTCTATATCTGTATCTATTAAAAAAAAGTTTTGAAAGTGTGACAGATTTAAAGCCATAAATGTGACAACTATATAACAAATATCCTAACAAATATCCTATATAACAAATATCCTAACAAATATCCTATATAACAAATATCCTCAAAACAATCTCAAACGAGCAACAGAACTGTGAATTGAATTTAAAAGCAAATTTCAATTTCATTCACTCAAATACAGGACTTAATTACTTCTCTGCACTGAAATTGAATAAATTCTTAAAAGGAAATCTTTTTTACTTATAATTAGACAAAGAAACTGTGCAATTTGTTTGATTTCTCAATGAAAGCATTCAGCAAACTTGATATGCAGCAAACAACAATTCTCCCGACCATTTTTCATTTTTAAGATTTCGGGGACAAAATAAGATCATACTCGAAGGATGCATTGACCTAGTGACCTCAATTATTTTCATTTATTTGTAAATGCGAATTACAGATTTCAGTCAGTCCAAACCGTCATGTAAAATAATCGAAAACTCGATAAATTGAATTATATAAGGAGCTATTTGGAAATGTTGGAAGACACTGACAATTTCATATTTGTAAAAATTGAAAATTTTTACAATTTTCTGATGACATAATTAAATCACGCACGTAGCACGAAGAAGAAATGATTTGCATAAACAGAGGAAGACAAAGAAGAAGTAAACTTAATGTTTAAGTAATGCTAACTGAATTTGACAGAAAATTCGTGACATTCTTCTTTTTTCAATTCCTTCTCTTCTTCATATCTTTCTATTTTAGGTTGAAGATGATAAAATTAATTTAAGAATTTTATTTCTTGAAAGGTTTCATCCTTCTTCTTCTTATAAACTATTCTATTTTTCAATTCATTCCAATTTTTTAGTAATTAACTGATTCATTTATTTTTTGCAAAATTTGTAGTTTATTGGAATTTTTTCACCCAGCAACATCACATTTTCAAATATTTGTTTATAATTCATTACAGTTTTGAGAATTCTTCCATAGATACTATCATACTGATTGATTGATTGGTTTATTGATTGATCAGTTTATTGTTTTTTATTTATTTATTTTTTCTTTATTCTCATTTAAAGAATAAATTATAGATTAACAGAAAATACCAATATCGAATCGTTGTTTCCATACTATTTCTTTGATACATTAGGCATTTATAAAATACCGTTAGAAAAGATGCCAGCAATGTCCTTTGTTAGATTTGGGGACATGTATGATATGGTTTTTACATAGTTTGAATTCGATTACAAGTGGAAAGGATAGAAGAAATTTCATTTGGAATTAACAAAAGGGCTTCAGGAGTGTTTGTAGAGATTGAGTAATCCTGTAAGCAAATAAATGCATTTGATGACCAGAATTTATGGATAATTTATGGCAGAGAAAAGGCAAGTTGATCAAATGACGGGAATGTTGGAAATTGAGAAGATTGTGATAGAGTAGGTTGCTGAGCTGATTCCATTTGTCGTTGATATGATAAGGATTGTGTGTGTTGTTGTTGAGGATGCGATATTTGCGAATATGATTCGTCCGATGGAGGGAATATTTGCGCTCCTGATTGCTGCTGTATTATGAATGGTTGCTGAGAAACCTGCTGAGTTTGTTGTCCCATAGCAAGAAATTGTCCAGGTTGATTAGCTAAAGCATCCAGCTGTTGGTTGGTGTTAAACGGTACTACCGATTGATGTTGATTTGCAGGAATAAGTGATACGGTAGATGTGAAATCCTTAACTGGTGAAATTGATAGACTGGAAAGAAGCGGCACGGGAATTCGAGAAGATTCCGAAGATGATTCTGCAAAAATTTTAGCGTCGTAAATGTTGGATAGGTTGTGAATTCTAATTTCGCACTATCTAAATAATAAATAAAAGTTCCAATTTATTCATCCAACCCTAAGCGCAATTCCTCTTCAACACAGTACCAATAAAATCACTTCGTTTTTTTTAGTTTCGCTTTTTAGCAAATGGAATAAATTAAAAATAATTTCAATTAGCAAATAATACCTGAGGACAAATTCTGTGAAGTAGCCTGTTTCACAAAGCTGGATGACGGGATCATTTTATCGTCAAACTGCTGCAAAGTAATCATTTTCTCTTTTAAAGTTGCATTTGGTTTAATCAAAACATCGAAATTTGCCAACCCTATTGAAAACTTAATTTCAAACTAAAATTGGGTGTAAAACTCCAAAACTTAATTTAAAAAGGAAAACTTAATTCCAAAATTGTGAGACTTCTTTGTAAAGAAAACATTATCAGTTTGAATGCATAACCTGTGGCGAAGATTGTTTCAAGTTTGTCCCTTTCTGTTTATTCGATTCATGATTTGTTGCTATTTTATCCATAATATACGGAGAAGCATTTTCTTCCACTAAAAAATTATCACATGTTTTATCAGCTTGTACTATCTATGAATTTATTTAACACGCTATCAGCATCACCCTATTGTCAACAACAACAAACGATGTCCATTGATTGATTGGTCATTTACTACTAATAGATAACGAAATATTGATTACGATATGATTACATGTTTAATATTTGTTAGGATTAAAGAAATGAAGCATTAATTATGCTTGAATCAATTTTAAATAAAATTTCCTATGATAAAATAAAAAAAAAAAAAAGGGCTGAAATCAAAATGACTCAACAACCAAGTTAAAATATCGTCACTTGCCATAGAGATCGGATTTTGTCGGATATGGGAGACACCAAAATCGTCGAACTGTTACACTGTATGCTACACTATAACATATATTTTTTGAACAATTATTCATTATTGATTTTTTTTTTCCTTCAAAATGTTCCAGGCCTACTTTAGTTGCCTTTATTTGGCCCATTTATCAGGCCTAACAATTCTTTTTCAAATTCCTTTCTTTCTTTTTTTCAAATTCCTTTCTTTTTTGAAAAAAAATTTAATTTTTCATACTAACAATTTTTCGACCATTGGTAAATAAATTTGAACGATTTTCGATGATTTCAAGTTATTACTGGAAAATATTGCATTTGCTAGCAAAGCATTATTGAATTTACGATTCAAAACAATTCATATTATATATGAATTCCGGAAAACGACCGGTATTCTATCAATAATTTTTTTTTACCTTCCATTCATCCTGAAATATTTTTTAACATTTGCAATGTAATCGAAAGCGTATTGTCGTTCACCTTGCACTACCTCACCACCAACAACAATTTGTCCCGGATTTACGTCTGCAACTCCGCGATCCCAAGAATTTTTCAACTTCTCAAATGTGCAGCATTGCAAGAAAAGCCTGAAACGAAATTGGATTCAGGTGGATTTTTTATTCATTTCCTAAATTCTCGCATATTTTAATATTTACTCGCTAATTAATGTACTGATAATTACTTTCAAGTCAGTGTATAGTATCACATTAGCACAAAACATATATGTTTTTATTGCACTCAAATATTTAAATATTCTTAAAACTAAGAAAGGAAAGAATTTTACGGTGATGCAGTGATATTTGATGAAGGTGATAAGCCTCCAACCCATTGCATATTCTCATCACATGATAAACTGCCATAGCTTTTTTCACAAAACTGAAATAGCACTTTTGGTAGGTTAGGAAGTTAGAAAAAAGAGCCCTTTAAAATTAAACTGTACTTTGATTGTGCAAATTCCTTGACCCAATTTTAGATGTTTCAAAATTTTTTGACGAAAACATTACGCTTCTTTATCTATCATTACACTATGCTTTGTTTATTTGTTCTAATTTGAGTACTTTCGTTTAATTAAGTTTAATCTCATTATCTTTATCAGTTCTTTTTTCTCTTCCGTCTATTTGAAATTGATTAAAGAAATTTCATTTTGATGACACTAATTTACATATTATGAGGTTGCTCAACATCTATAAATCCCCATCCAGAATTATTTTGCTGATTGCAATTCTTGAATTAAATAATAAAACTAACAGCTAGCTGTGATTCTCGTGCCACAATTTTTGCTTTATCATATTTCTTGAGATCACTGCGGCGCAAAAATCCATCATTTTTCTTATGTATTCTGCAAATTTAATCGAATAATTTAAATAATTCAACAAATCATTTGAATATAATTTTCTGAATGTAAGAAAAAGAGACAATAAATTTTTTGAAGGTAAAAAAAAACTGGATTTAGGTATCCCCGGAATCAAAATAACTAACCGATAAAACCGGGCACCTTTATCAGTTTTGATTCCCCAACCAAAACATGACGGTCGTGCACATCCAAGCACCGGTTGACCACTTTGCAATGCCTTCAACATCATTTTTAGCTTTGGAAGGAGATTTATTTCGAATTACAAAAGGCATATCGTCCTCTGTCAAGCTCTAAGCGATGAAGAAAATTATTCATTAACCTATTTACTTGACGGTAATTAATTACGATTCGTACTACTAAATTTTGCTTTCTCAAACTATTCATTGAATTTCAAAAATAATTATTAAACCGATCTTGTTTGGTAGAAGTAACAAATGATTTAAAATATAAAGAATGGCATACTTGTAAACTGAATGGAATTGCATCTTCACCACAATAAGAAGCAAAAATATGCATACTTTGTATTACGACAAGTGCAAAGAGCAGTGTTAAAGAAAGCATATCTGCTTGAATTCAATTTTGATCAATGAGTACTCTTACTGGCAAACTGATAACAAAGGATAACGATTGATTGACACTTTTGATTAAATTTTGGTAGGTCAGGTCAGCCCATCTCTTATGTCAATGACCGATTTTTATCTAAGATCGATTGTTTCTCATAAATTAAAAATGTAATTTGATTAGATATTTTGTATACGTATTATTGTATCTGTATGTAATTGTACTGCTGTCATGAAGATTGGTTAAATAGCCATTGGTCAATGTGTAGACCAGAATTAGAATATGACTTTTCAATGAATTCGATCTTTCATTTCTCTGCTCTTCCTGGGCTTATCACTTCATTGTTTAAAAATAGGCGTCATTTTCGAAATTCTCCGGTCAAAGTTCATATCCCTGGTCTTTTTGCACTACGAAACAAATCGCCTAAATTCATCTCCCATTTATGAAATACTAACGAAATCATAAATTTATTGTTTGAAAACTTTTGAACACTCAAAGAAAATTTAGTACAGCGGTGACCTATCTTTTATCCATCAACTGCTCACAAAAAATATTTTTCTCATCTTAATGTTCCCGGTATATTTTCAAACTCGTGGTAAGCTGAAATTTGAAATTAAAAGTATAAATTTAATCAATCTGATTGAAATTTATTGCCAAAATAAAGCAAAAAATTGCAACAAACGGAAATATTGATTGGATGAAATTTAAACTAAAATTTTGCTTTAACCTTCTCCGATAAGTTATTATCAAATTATTCTAATTGAAACAGAAAAAAGAAGATAAATGCATCGAAAATGAACATCTGCTCTCATTGTTTTAATTTTGTGGTTATCAGAAGGTTGTAATCAAATCAATTCCTTATATTTGCTAAAATCGCAGCAAATTATTAAGGTGTAAATATTCTAGCAAAGCGTCACAAGAAATTCGACAATTTATTTGGGCATTTCGTCGACGAGAATTTGCAACAAATACTTTTGATCCTTAACCAACAGCTCGTCGCAATGGTACTAAAAATGGGCCGCAATCAAGGCAGTGGTACCTTTCGATCACTTTCCATCCTAAAATTGCATTCTTAAGCTTTCAAGAAACCAAATAGATCAAAGCATCCTTCTAATACCTATAGAGAGAGGGAGGAAAAAAAAAACGTACGGTAAACAGGTTTTCTGAGTTTATCATTCTCCTACTCTGTGAGAATTTCCAGCTGGAAAAAAAACTGGGAATTTTGTAAACACATAAAATGTCCGATTTTGATATTAAATTTTACCTTATCAAAGATATGTCAATATGGTTAACTTTTCAGGAAATGATAAACCGATAAGACCAACGAATAATATTTCGACGCTAAATAAGCAAAAAGTTTCAGCAGTCGAAGATATGACAGAAGTGGAAATAACCGAAGGAACAGAAACAAAACTATTTACGGAGAAATCTGAAAAACCAGAAATGGATGAATTTAGGAGTGTTAAGAATGATATCAGTGATAATGATACAGCTGAAGCACATACATCCGATGAGCAACAAAATGATGAAGAGAATTTCAAAAAGATGGATGTTAGCGTAAAAGTTTGATAACATTTAAGGAAAAAGAGAACAAATTTAAATACTTAATATCAAATGAAAGAGGATTAATTAATATGTCGTTAATTCAAAAATGATGCGATTTATTAAAAATAAATTTGTTGAAAAGTAAAACCTGGAATATCCATTTTGAATTCTTGATTTCTTTCAAAAATTCAGTTCACGAAGTTAGCTTATCTATTCCGCCAATAGAAAAAAAACAGTTTCTATAAGAATATCAACGAATGTTATCTGATTGTTTCTGGATGCTCAAATGGATAATTGGAATTTGATACTGGGATAACAGTTCTGGAAAATTATTGTATAGGCGTATACTGGATATATTTCCAGAATACAATGTACAACCTGAATCACCCAAAAATTCTAATCCATAATTGTAAAGAAGATAATTGTTGTTCAATTGATCATTTTAGATACAAATGGGTAAACGATTAACAGATGATATAATTGATGCATATTGTGATAAGTTGCAAGAAAGTGTTGACAAAGAGGTTGATGGAATGCTTGCAATGCAATACATTTTAGTCAGTTTAATTTGACAATTTTTAAATAGCTTTAAATGGATCTAATCATGATTCAAACTATTTCCTTCCTTCTTAGCTTCTTATTATCAGGTAGTAATAGAGTTACAGTATTAAATGATAAACTGGAACTGAAGGTTGTTATAAAATTCAAATTTGAGCAATTTGAACTATTTAATCTAAGAGCTTACTGTACGTGTATGAACAAACACAATTAGAAAATAATTACCCAAAATAATTTAGCAAAACGATTGGAAATTTAAGCGATATTAACTAGCAGTTTTGGAGTAACCTGATTAGATGTCTGATCTATGAATATATTAAGCAGTTCACTTCCATTATGCTACCGTTATAAGAAGATATGATCTTCTGATATTATCAGAAGAACCATAATTTTACTATTATGATTTGATTAAAGTGAAATTTTATTTGGTAAATAATTCATTATCAGTTGTATCGGTATTTTATTAAAAATACTTCAGCACAAAATAATGTTTTTTCTCTCTTCCAGTTGGAACCGAATTCAATAAAAAATTTGATAAAAGGTGATAAAAATATATGTCAAGTAATTTATGATCACTGTCGTGCGCATTATTTAGTGCTATTCCGAAATAAGCTCAATCCGAAACGTATTATTGTTTATGATCCTATTGTACCGCAGCAAGATTTCGTTTTTGAAACGGTTTGTTCAGAGCTTCCGGATTGTTTTGAACAAAACTGAGCTGAAAAGATTATAATAAACTAATGGGTCATTCGAAAAAACTTTGAAATCTAAGTATTGTTTTCTGAAAAAAGTCAGAAAGTGCTTCAAATTTGAATATTATCGATGAATTAAAGCCATTAGTCAATAAGTAAGATAAAATTTGCTTTTAGCTCAATGATAGTGTTCGTGAACAGATTCTGGCCATGTTTGGCCATTTGTATCAGGACGACGAAATAGTCGAAATTGCAGTTGAGACAGGATTAAGTACACAAAATGATTGCTGGTCTTGTGGCCTAAGAGCGGTCGCATTCATCACACATTTATTACTTGGTATCAATCCTGCTAAGTTAGTTTTCAACAATTTTGGTTTGTGAATTTTTTGAAATTCGAATTTTTTTTTTAAGAGAAGTAGTTTTGATGCATTTTTAGAAGAAAAACTAAATGTTGCATTGAAACAGTAATGGACTGAATAATTCAGACTAAAGATTATGTTTTTATCAAATAGAAACATTTGATGGGAATTTAACGCATGGCTTTCTTTAATCGCTGCTAGCAAAGGAAAAAAAGTGTAGTAAGAAAACTTCAGTTATGAATATGATTTGGAAAAAGTTGGAAAATTCATTATGGAAATTATCAAAATGGACAGGCCTAATCGCAAAGTAATCGCTGGCGGACAATTTGGCCAGTAAGGCCATTGTTTCTGTATTTATGATAATAGAGGCACAAAATGAATTTCACTTATTTTATTACATATGTATTATAACAACTACAGTAATATGCATCATTCTTTAGCGTTTAATCGTTCAATAATTGATAATGTATCGATCGTTTCAACTTACTTAAGCAATAAGCTCTCAAAATTTCTCATCGAAATGATATCATATTGGAGTATGCGGATAATTATATGATATCAAGATGATAAGCTGATAAATATAAATAAACTGATAAGTTTTGCATGGAAGAAAGAGATAGAAGATAAAATATCTCAGAGAACGAATTTAAATTAATAATATTTACAGGGAAAGAAAAGGCAGTAAATCATGTTTAGCGATTGTACGCGTAACCAAAGGTGGAAATTTTTCGATAAAAAATGAAATAGCAAATGTTACAATTAAAGAATCTTCGGCCGAATCATTATTAAATGGCGGAGACAAAGTACTAAAGGGTGATGAGAAAAAATTATCGAAATTAATGTCAGACAATATTTCTGGTGACAGTAACAGCGATGACAATAACAGTAATAGAGAAGATGGTAAATAATTTAAAAATCTCAACTGAAATTAAATTATTTTTTATGAATAAATTTTCGAAAATGTAGAATTTCAAATATTTGCACTTGTTTGAACTACTCGTGATGTAAATAATAGGTAACAGAAAGGTTATTATTCCATCCGCTCATGATCCAATTCCTCGTATTTGATTCTAATTTGAGTATTATAACTAGAAATTAATTAACAAATGATTGAGTTATAAACAAAAAAAAAAGTAGATAGTTGACAATAGCTCATATCTATGATTTTAATGGTACAAATTAGTACTGAAAGTAATAAAAGCTAGCCCGGATCTGTTTTACTATCTTTTTTGTGGCTAGGCGCAAAAAAAGTTAAATGTGATGACGGAGTGACATGATATAGTAGATATTGGTTTGGAGTAGTTTATCAGAGTGATGTGATAGAGTGATATTAGTTTGGGGTAGTTTATCAAAGTGATGTGATAGAGTGATATTACTTTGGAGCAGTTTATCAGAGTGATGTGATAGAGTGATATCAGTTTGGAGTAATTTACTCCACCGTGGAAAATGATAGTTCAATGGAAGATATTTTTGCCTTCTAAGCTAAGTGTTCTTATTTATTAATACTTTAAATTTTCATCGAACTTTTTCTCTTTCTGATGTATTTATTGGTGTAATTTAATTTGTCATTTCTTTTGAAGAATATCAAAAAGTTCACAGTGACATTTCCAGACTATATGTGGATGTGTAAGTCAATCAAATCGAGCAGCAGTGAATATAATTTATCAGAACATTCTAGATCTGATAAGGAAACATTATCAATTATTAGTAATAAATGAATTCTCATGTTCACTTTTTCCATTTACTGAGACTGTCACAATGTTCGATTTTAATTCAATTTTTAAGTGTTCCTTTAAAATGACACATACTGAAATCCTATTTTTTTGCAAAGATTTGATTTTTGAATCCTAAAATTAATTCAAATAACCGAGATTTTCATTTATTTTTTCAAACACAATTTCAATAACAAGAAATTGAATCGGAATTGTTGATAATATGACAATTACTTGCAAATAAGAGTACTTTTCCCTTCCTAATATCAAAATAACAAATGATTTTGGTAACTAACTTTGAACAATCTGAACTTATTTATTTTCAACAATTCAATTTAATTGCAATTTTCAACAAAGCGTAACTATCCATAGCTATTTGGAATTATTTCAGCTTTTAACTTTTGCAATTTTTCTAATCATTACAGATATTAAAAGATAAAATGTTATTAATTTTGGGTACCTAGTAATTCTCGACATCTTCTCGTTTCTTTCAATATCGCTAAATAGATGAAAAGGAGAGGTATAAAATAAACGTTTGTTTGCTGATATGTTTTTATCATTTATCAATTTGTTACTTACTTCTTTCTGGAAAGAACAATTGGATAACTTCTATTTAGTGTTACCATTCAATTTTCATTCTTCTTTATCATTCTTTTTATACTTCATTCGTTATAAACATCACTTTTCGTAAAAGACATGTCGCAAATTATTCGCAAAAAACTTTCCAGAGAAAAAAACTTCGCATCGCAATTTAATTTACGATAATAACGATCACATTGCTCATGATATTAATTAGGTATAATTAGAATTGAACCAAATTTAGTTAAGTGGAAAGACGGATATGTTATTTGTGTCTTATATTATATGAAATTAAAATTTTTTAATGAACCGAATAGTTCCTTTGCATCGACAAAGCTAATAGAATAAATAGAAAATGATTTTAATGGTTGGTTTTTTGATGTTGCCGATGTGACATAAATTTTGTTCATTTGAAATCAGCCGCACTCACTATTACAGTACTTCGGATTTCAACTTTGCATTACTTGATTTATGGAAAATGAATAATCCACTACGGTTGAGGATTGAATTCGTTTCGTTGACACTTATATGGCATTTTTATTTAGTGGATTTGATGTTTTGGGTATAACTAATTAATTCGAATATTACCTGTTCTTGCGCGCAGCTCACTAATCTGCATATTTCCAATGTACAATCATAACAGACATAAATAATATGACAGATATACTTTCGTTTCCTAACATAGCGTACCGCTTGAACATTTTGATAAATTTAATTTTATTTTTCAACAAAGTTAGTTTTCAGTTCAATTAGTTATCAATAAATTTAGTTTACTGAAGTATTTAAGAGCAATTCGGTTAATTGGCTCAAGAAACTTTGAGGATTTTTCATTTTGAAATATCATAATGAATGGATTAGGACACTCAGTCAATAGAAATGAAGTTTATAAAATTAACTCCTCATTTATTTGTCATTATATTGAAGCATATGTTTATAACATATTGAATTGATATCGATAATTTTATAACCTAGCTATTCCTTGACAAATTAAGTAGCTAGAGACCATTAAGCTCTTCCATGACCTGTTTGGAAGCTATTTTGACAAGATGGTCACTTTGCTATCAATTTCTTCTGCACTTGTTCCCAGTGATTTTATCAACAAATGTTATCGTTGATGACATTACTCACAACGATGTCAACAGATGATTGCGTGATACTTCGAAGTATAATTCAGAAAGTATAGAAAAATAATTTTTTTTCAAATTTATTTTTTCCACACTTAAAAAAATAAATTCTGAAATGATCTATTTTGTCTACAGAATTTTGCTAAAATTTTTGCAATCCTTTGTGCCAGTGAATGATATACAACCACTCTGTGGTCAAACATGACCACAGAGTGGTCATTTTTTATAACTTTTTTTATTTTCACATTGGCCAAAAAACTCTATGAACAGGAACGATTCACAATGCTATAGCATTTTGAATGCGTAGAAAAGAGATGAAAACGTTAAAGATCTGTTAAAGATCCGAACTACTCAAGGAAAGGTCAAAAAAAAAGGTCACACTTTATTGTTCGTATATTTCGCAATGCTTTAACCACGATAATCTCATGCTGAATATCAAATTCTATACAAAATTGGCTTCTAATTAGTGAAAAATTAAATTTTGAAAAAATCGTAATTAGTAGAAAAAATTTAGTGACGAAGTTTTGGCATTGTTTGGCTAAAATTAATTAGAAATAACCAAGATTAGTTTGGATATTTACGCAATTTAATTTGGCTCTATTTTATGACATAAAAATTAAATGTTTGTCAGTGAGCAGTGGATGATCATTTTGTCACACAAACTAACATCTTGAACAGGTCTTCATAGTTACCAACTTCTCTTGTGTCATCTTCGAAGATAGTCCATTTTACTTCAATTCAATTAGATATCGCCTTGTCAGTCTAAATTTATTTTAAAAAAAATTTAAAATTCATTCCCTTTTCTAAAAGTCATTCATTCATAAATGCTTTACAAAGATCAAAAAATTATTTGAATTCACAATATTTAAAACTGTTAAAGCTAATAAAAATTCAATTTATGCAAATAATTAGGCGCAATTTTAAATATTCTTCAATTTTGCTATGTATGGAATGAATTAAATGAAACAAATTAGCGCATACTAATTTTTATGGTTTAAAAAAAATCAATGAAATTCCTTTTTTTTTTCTTTTCGATTTCAAGTTTTTATTCAATTTATTTCAGCAATCAAAAAATTCCTCCAAATTTGTTATGTTCTTCAACAGATCGGCTCCAATACTGAAATACGAATGGAAAGAAACGAGTTTGTTACCTCTCTGAAGAAGTTGCGATTAATGAGAGTAATGGTACGGGAAAGGTTTTGTCCGGGAAATAAAAGAGGGAGAAAGAAATGAGGTGATTAAGGATAAGGAAAGCTTTTGTTCGGCGCTACTAGAGGAACCTTTTAAAGAAAGAAATATACCGCTCTACCTCTCTCTCTCTCTCTCTCTCTCTCTCTCTCTCTCTCTCTCTCTCTACTA